GCCACTTCCGGCTTTTTTCTTTTTGCTTATATGGTGCTAAGGAATCGAACCCAGGGCCTCAGGCATGCAAGGCAAGCACTCTACCACTGAGCCACCTTCCCAGCCCCCCCCCCCCCCACTGTCTTTCTTACAGGCATTTGTTGTGTACCTGCTTTTTGCCAGATGCAAGTGGAAAGGAGATAAAGGATAGTCCCTCCTTATGAGAGATAGCCAGATAAACAACGTGTACTACTTGCTTTCATATGTTACCTTATTTGTTTAACACAACCCCCTTCTAAAAGATATCAAAGATAAGAAAGACTGTATTTAGAATAAATACAGTCTAAATACAGTCTTTCATATCTTTTAGACGTCATAGGTTGTCCTGAGATTTTTACGCTACAAATGTGGGTACCTGGTGATATCAGAGCTATCTGGTATAACGTCACTGATTTTTGTTAGAACAACTGAGTTTTTGAACTAGCTTTAGGGAAATAGTGAATCTTCCCTTTCTAAGGTGCTATCTTAGTCGTTTTTCTGACTTTTAAATATCTTCCCACTTGACTTAAATTCCCCATAACATAACTTTGCCATTTAAGCCCTACTTGTTTGATTTTTTTTGGGTCCGGTCGTGGGGCCTGGACTCTGGGCTTGGGCGCTGTCCCTCAGCTCCTCAGCTCAAGGCTAACTCTCTACCACTTGAGCCACAGCACCACTTCTAGCTTTTTTCTTATGTGGTGCTGAGGAATTGAACCCAGGGCCTCAGGCATGCAAGACAAGCACTCTACCACTGAGCCACCTTCCCAGCCCATGCCCTTCTTGTTTCTCCTTTTTCAGCATTTATAGTCCTCTTCCCAATTTAAAAATAAATGTTTATCTCCACATTGTTTTATTTCTGATATTCCCCTCTTCAAACACAAATTCAGACACTCTTTTTCCTCTATTGTTGGAACACTCTTGATGTTTACCCTTTGCTTTCACTTAATTGTTTACAAGTAAGCCTTTTAGTTGTATCCCTCTATCAAAACTTTCTCTAAAAGGTGACCTCTATCTTAATAAGTGTATCAGTCACTGTTCTCCTTTACTCTGTAAATCATTTCTTCTTCTGACTAGCTGTCCTTGAGACCTTCTCCTTTGGCTTATATGGAATTATGAAATTCTGTTTTTATATCTACTGCTTTTGCTGTTAGTCTACCTTTTATTCACTATTTCCTGTTTTGTTTTATTAACCTATTTTAAGACATTGTAAACACTGGTTTGGGGAATGGTCTCCATCTCCCTCTACAATACTTAAGGGATTTGATAAGTTATATCCTCAGTCTTAGAATCTTTGGCACTTATTGTAAGATTTTAGATTCTGTTCTTCCCAACTAAAGGCGTTCTCCCCTCTATTTGGGTTTCCTCCTACAACATATACTCCATTGTCCCAAAGCAAATTCAGTATCATCTTAGATTCTCTGTTGTTTATGCCTTTTCCCCCAATCTAATGTCTTCTCCTTACCATTCTTCAACATAAAATTCTATAATCTGTAATCTGGTCAGGGCAGTTACTTTATTGTTAAGAATGTTAGTATTATACTGCTGGGGGATGGGGGCTCACACCTTTAATCTTAGCCACTCTGGAGGCTGAGATTTGAGGATTATGATTAGACGCCAGTGGGCTGGAAAGTCTTTGAGACTTTTACCTCCCATTAACCACCAAAGAGCCAAAAGTAGAGCTGTGTCTCAAATGGTAGAGAGGTAGCCTTGAGCAAAAAAAAAAGCTCAGGAACAATGTCCAGGCCTGAGTTCAAGCCCCAGTATTGGCACAAAAGAAAAGAAAAAGAATTATAATTGTATACAAGATCAACCAGGATTATAAGTAAGCAGTAGCTGCTGGGGGGCGGGCAGTGACTCATGCCTGTAATCCTAGCTATTCAGGAGATTTGGGGATCATGGCAATAAACTCCATTAGTCTCTTCTGTCCAGTCAACTACTAAAAAAAGCTTGGAAGTTTAGCTGTGGCTCAAGAGGTAGAGTGTTAGCCTTGAGCAAGCAAAGCTCAGGGACAGTGTCCAGGCCCTGAGTTCAAACTGAGAACTAGCATTTAAAAAAAAAAGTAAGCAGTAATTAATAATAAAGTTCTAATGAAGAAACGATTGATTTAGTTGATTGAGCTTCTTGTTTTAATAGCACATTATTTTTTAATTTCACTAGTAATATTTTTATGGTGCTGGAGATTGAACCCAGAACCTCATACATACTAGCTAAGTATTCTACCACTGAAATACATATTCCCAACTCTTCATCATCATTGTTATAAAAAAAATAACAATCATAGGGGAACTGAGAACATAGCTAGCTCAGTGGTAGGAGTTTTTGCCTAGCATGAATTAGGTTCTGGGTTCCCAGACCTTATCAAAAATGTCCCCCCCTTTCTCTTTCTCTCTCTGTCTCTCTGTCTCTCTCCCCACTATATCTATCTAGTCTGTTGCTGGGGTTTGAACTCCTGGATCTTACACTTGCTAGGCAGGCACTCTATCACTGAGCTATACCCTCCATCCCTTCTAACTTACTTACTGCCTTTATGTTTTACTATATAAAAATACCTGTCTTCCAGGATTCAGATCAAGTTCTACTTTCATTTAGTCTATTAAACTATTTAGTCCATAAGTGTCTATTAAACATTATTCTCGATAATACCTTGAAGGAGACATAATCCCTTCATAGATTTTGTACCTAGTAAAAACCAGCAACTTCCTTTATTCTCATTATGTAATTAGCTTTTTACTTTTATATACTCTCTGTATTTTGTTATATAAGTTCTTTGTGTGGTAGAACTTGTGTAACTGCTTTTCTATCATTTGATATTGCCTGATTAGGATCCACACCAGAATTCTGCTATATCAGTCTTCTTAATTGAACAATTCCACTCAGTCTGATATTTAAAAATTGTTCTAGTAGTGTTTTGGGTAGTTAACTTTTGTCTAAATTAGTAATTATTTAAAAAGTGGTTTGAAGCACTTTAATGTTTATATAATAGGAATAATTTTTAAAACTATTTTCTTCTTTTTGGCCTTGATTTCATCTAGTCATTAAATAGACTTACTTACCTAAAACTAAAGAGATAAAGAGTAAGGGGAGAAATAAAAGCTATTGCCTCTGCTTTAAAGTGCTTTTTAATGAATTATATGGCATTTCATCATACTTTGCCATCAACTGTAATCCATATCTGGTTGTTTAATCTGATTAACCATATCATTTGCAGCCATTTTTATCTATTTGATGGCATACTTTGCTATCAACAACAATTAGCATTTATTAAATGTATAAAGCATTGCTTTGAATATTGTGCAATATTATAGAATGATAGGTATAATATTAGTAAAATGGTTGAATATTTTTGTTTGCTACAGGGAAATTTAGTTTAAAAATAGGCATCAGTGTAGTCTTCCTTGGGTTACTTTGCTTCTTAAGACCTAGATACTCCAAAGCATCCTCAAAAAGTCTTGTAAATTTTTTAAATGTAAAAATTTCAAACTCTAAAGCAACAAAATCATAGTAATCAAAATTTTAATGTATATTATGTCATAAGCAGATTAGTTTTAGATTAAGTGATTTTCTATAGTTGAAATGTTTTTGTCTATTTGTGCATTTTATAGTATAGTGGGGCCCCTTATATATTCAAATTACCTGCATATATTACATATTTCAAATTAATAGGTTTATCATTCTTGTGACAGCAACTTTGTGACTTGTAATTGTCATATGTATAATCTATAGTATAATTAGTATAATTATAGTATAATTAGTCAGATCCTAAATTGTAGCATGATTTTTTAAATACTGAGCTCTTTACTTACTATTGCTATCAATGTGGACAAGTCATTCAACTGCGTTGGCCTTAGATCTTTCATCTCAGGAGTGCTTATTAAACTATTATTTTTATGAAGATTAAATTAGGTAATACAGGTTATATGTGTGTTTGTGTGCCATTTGTAAACTTATAAAATCTAAAAAAATAGTTTCTATGACTTAACTGTAGTTTTGAATACTCTTTTTATTAGTTTTATGTAGCCCCTAATATTTAAATCAATTAACTTTGGTTTAGACCTTTGTTAAATACTGCTTTATAACTAGTTATAACTTGTGTATTCTAGTCATATTTTTGGAAACGTGTGATATGTTGGTTACTCTTCAGCTGATTTGGGGGCTGGGAAGGTGGCTCAGTGGTAGAGCGCTTGCCTTGCATGCCTGAGGCCCTGGGTTCGATTCCTCAGCACCACGTAAGCAAAAAGAAAAAAGCCGGAAGTGGTGCTGTGGCTCAAGTGGTAGAGCGTTAGCCTTGAGCTGAAGAGCTGAGGGACAGCACCCAGGCCCAGAGTTCAGGCCCCACGACCGGACCCCAAAAAAAACCCAAAAACTCTTCAGCTGATTTTCTGGAGGACAAAAGCCACAGTTTGTGGAATTTTCTGTTTTTCATGTTATAAATACTTCTATCATAGCCAGTTCCAAGTCACCAATATGCTGTATGAAAGAGCTCCATACAAATCAGCTCTTGTGAGTTTGTAGGGAAGTTGGCCTTAGGACATACTGAACCTAGGTGTAATCAGTTCTTCCATACATAGGTAGGTATGCAGAAATAATAAGTAATTGTTTAGATTTTTAGACTGTTTTAGATTTGAAAATCATTTAAGAATATTTTAACTGTCCCTGCAGTCAGAGCTGGATTCTAATTCTGATTCTGAACCTACTTTATGGGTTCTTGGGCAAGTCAGAGGAAACTATTTTGCTCTTAATCAACAAAACAGGCACAGTAGTAGTATCTTTTTGGGTGTGGGGGAGTACTAAACATAATCCCCACTGTGTGATATAGATTTCTGCTATTATTTTTTTCAGAGGGAAAGCATTGTTCTATAAGGCCAGTAGCTATTGTTGTCAACCCTGAATGGTTTTAATAATGTGATACTAAATTTTATATGAATTTATTTTATTTTTTAGCTGATATGGGTTTTGCCAGATTGTTCAATTCTCCCTTAAAGCCACTAGCAGATTTGGATCCAGTAGTTGTGACATTTTGGTATCGGGCTCCAGAACTTTTGCTTGGTGCGAGGCATTATACAAAGGCCATTGGTAAGTTGATCTAAAATGATTTATAGTCTTGACATCAAATTCATTAATACCAAGTATCTATGAAATGTAAGTAAGTATAACTTTATTATAGCTTTATAATACTAAAGCTACTTGGTAAAACCTAGTCTATAGCTCTTTGTAAGCGTTCTATTGACTTCTATATTTCTCAATTTCGAATTTTTTTTTTTTTTTGGGTCCAGTTGTGGGGCCTGAACTCTGGGCCTGGGCACTGTCCCTCAGCTCTTCAGCTCAAGGCTAGCACTCTACCACTTGAGCCACAGTGCCACTTCCGGCTTTTTTTCTTTTTGCTTATGTGGTGCTGAGGAATCGAACCCAGGGCCTCATGCATGCAAGGCAAGCACTCTACCACTGAGCCACCTTCCCAGCTCTCGAATTTTTTTTTTAAAGAAGTATTGGGCCCTGGGCATCAGTGGCTCATGCCTGTAATCCTGGCTACTCAGGAGGCTCAGATCTGAGGATCACGGTTTAAAGCAGCCCAGGCAGGAAAGTCTGTGAGACTCTTATCTCCAGTTAGCCACCAGAAAACCAGAAGTGGCTCCAGAGCTCAGGGACAGCCCAAGGCCCAGAGTTCAAGCCCCACAACCCACAACTGACTAAAAAAAAAAAAAAAAAAAAAAGTACTAGGGTTTGAATTCAGGGCCTCACACTTACTAGGCAATTATTCTGTCACTTGAGACATTTTGTCAGTCCCCTTATTCATTGTTTATTTTTATTTATTTATTTATTCTTTATGGTCATTTTTAAGCTGGGCGCCTTTGGCTTACCCTTGTAATGCCATCTGCTCAGGAGGCTGAGATCTGAGGATCATGGTTCAAAGTCAGCCTGGGGAGGGGATTTTTATCTCTACTTATATACGAAAAAGCCAGAAGTGAAGCTGTAGCTCAAGTAGTAGAATGCTAACCTTGAGCAAAAAATCCCAACAAACCCAGGTACAGCACGTAGGCTCTGAGTTCAAGCCCCAGGACTAACACCAAAAACAAAAACAAAAAAAAACCCAAAAACCAAACTCTCAGCATTGTTTTTTTTTTTGGGTCCAGTTGTGGGGCCTGAACTCTGGGCCTGGGCACTGTCCCTCAGCTCTTCAGCTCAAGGCTAGCACTCTACCACTTGAGCCACAGTGCCACTTCCGGCTTTTTTCTTTTTGCTTATATGGTGCTAAGGAATCGAACCCAGGGCCTCAGGCATGCAAGGCAAGCACTCTACCACTGAGCCACCTTCCCAGCCCAAACTCTCAGCATTGTTATGTAGATCTTTTTCCATTTGGTGTAATTTGTTTTGCAAAAGAATAATAACAGTTACTCTAATTAATGAATATAATCAAACTCTTATCTGTAGAATATAGTAACACTGTGGTAAATACTGTACTTTTCTATAATACACCATATTTGTAGCATTATTAACTTTTCTCTTTCTAATAAATCCTAAGTGGCATTTATTTAAACTTATAAATATGAATATACATGTCACAAAAATTAATTCACATTTGATAAAATGTTGTAGGTAGAGTATTATAGTACCAGAAGATAAATTATAGGTTTTTTTTGTTGTTGTTGTTTTGTTTGTTTTTGTCATCATGGGGCTTGAACTCTGGGTTTGGGCCCTGACCCTGAACTCTTCAGCTCCAGGCTAGCACTCTACCCTTTGAGCCACAGTACCACTTCTGGTTTTCTGGTAGTTAATTGGAGATAAGAGTCTCAGGGACTTCCCTGCCCTGGCTGGCTTTGAACCATGATCCTCAGATCTCAGCCTCCTGAGTAGCTAGGATTATAGGTGTGAGCCACCAACGCCTGGCAAATTATAGTTGTTTGTTTGTTTTTTTCATATATAAAATCCAAAAGCCAGGTGCTGGTGGCTCACACCTGTAATCCTACCTACTCAGGAGGTTGAGATCTGAGGATCCCAGTTCAGCCTGGACAGAAAAGTCTGTGAGACTCTTCTCCAATTAACCACCAGAAAACCAGAAGTGGTGCTGTGGCTCAAGTGGTAGAGCACTTGCCTTGAGCTGAAGAGCTCAGAGACAGCCCCCAGGACAGAGTTCAAGACCCAAGAGTGACCAAAAATAAACAAAAAATCCAACAGAATAATCTATGGTGGCTTTAAATAGACAATAATTTTATTGTGAGGTGCTGTGGATTAAAACAGTTTTGGGAATGCTAAGCAGGTACTCTACCACTAAGCTACATTTGTAGACCCTGACAAAACTTTTAAAGATGCTAGACTTTGTTTTGGAGATGGAGTTAGCAGAAAGGCTATAAGTAAATGAATAGATAAATGTATTTTCTACTCTCATGTAAAGCCTGTGTGTACTCGTATTATTTATAAGTTTATACCTTATAATTTCTTCTAAAAGAACTGAGGCTGGTAGTCTTTCAGACAGAAGTTGAATTTTCCAGGGGCTGGGAAGATGGCTCAGTGGTAGAGTGCTTGACTTGCATGCTTGAGGCCCTGGGTTCGATTCCTCAGCTCCACATAAGCAGAAAAAGGCTGGAAGTAGTGCTGTGGCTCAGTGGTAGAACACTTAGCCTTGAGCTGAAGAGCTGAGGGACAGCACCCAGGCGCAGAGTTTAGGCCCCACGACCAGCAAAAAAAAAGTTGAATTTTCCAAACTCTTTTACATCTGTCTAGACTTAATATGCATTGCTGTATAATTATGCATTTAATTACTTTAAAATAATTATAAGCCAGGCTTGGGTGGCTCATGCCTGTAATCTTTAGCTACTCAGGAATCTAGGGTCTGAGGATTGTGGTTTAAAGCCAGCCTGGTCAGGAAAGTCTGTGAGACTCTTATTTCCAGTTAACTACCAAAAAGCAGTACAGCTATGGCTCTACTGTGGTAGAGCACTATACTAACCTAAAGCTTGGGGACAGCACCCAAACCCTGAGTTCAAGCCTTAGATCTCTCTCTCTCTCTCTCTCCTCGCTCTCATACACACACACAGAATTACATTTTTTATCTGACTATAATCTTATTTCATTCTTTTATCTCCTATTTGAGATTAATAATTGGTGCTTCAACAGTTAAATGAGCTACACAAAATTTTTTCCCCAAATCTAATTCATTGTACCAGTTACAATTGTGCACTGCTGTAAGTCTAATGGTTGGGAGGCTGAGGCAATAGGATTAGGAGTTTGAGGCTAGCCTTAACTACATTGCAAGGTCTGGCTTCAAAAAACAAAACAAAAAGAAAATCATTGCTTGCCAAGTTGAGTTCTTCCTGAGTTTAACTTCATCAGGAAATTTAAAAGTAAATGTTTCTTATTTGGCTTCCAGTCTGTTACATGATGAAATAGCTATTTCATGTCACTTATACACTCTGTACATTTTCTCTTCTTTTCCTTCCTTCCCCTCCCTCCTTTCCTTTCCCATCTCTTTTGTGCCAGTGCTGGAGCTTAAACTCAGGGCCTGGGCTCTAGCTCTGAGCTTTTGTGCTCAAGGCTAGTGATCTACCCACTTGAACCACAGCTTCAGTTCTGGCTTTTTGGTGGGCTGGGAATGGGGCTTAGTGGTAGAGTGCTTGCCTAGCATGCATGAAACCCTGGGTTTGATTCCTCAGTACCACATAAACAGAAAAGGCTGGAAGTAGCTTTGTGACTCAAGTGGTAGAGTGCTAGCAGAAATAAGCTCAGAGACAGTGTCCAGGCCCTGGCCCAGGACTGCTCTCCCCCCCCCCCAAAAAAAAAAGTCTCACAGACTTTCCTGCATCAAGTGGCTTTGAATCATGATCCTCAGATCTTAGCCTTCTGAGTAGCTAGGATTACAGGCATAAGCCACCAGCACCTGGCTTATACATTTTCATAATACACTTACTGTATTTTGTGAATTGTTTTACTGAAAAGTATTCTTATATGCATGTTGGAATTATACTTAAGTAAATATAATGCATTTGTATAAAATTTGTTTTTTTCATAGACATATGGGCAATAGGTTGTATATTTGCTGAATTGTTGACTTCAGAACCTATTTTTCATTGTCGTCAAGAAGATATAAAAACAAGCAATCCCTTTCATCATGATCAACTTGATCGGATATTTAGTGTCATGGGGTTTCCTGCAGGTAACTTATTTTCCTGTTCAGAAGCAATTTAAATTATATTTGATCTATATTTTAAAACTAAAAAACTGTACATCATCTTTATAATATCAGTAAAAAAATTTTAAAAATGCCAGTGCCAGTGGCTCATGCCTGTCATCCTAGCTAATCAGAAGGCTGAAATCTGAGGATCAGGGTTTAAAGCCATCCCAGCCAGGAAAGTCTATCAGACTCTTACCCTCAATTAATCACCAGAAAATCAAAAGTTGAGCTGTGGCTCAAAGTGGTAGAGTGCAAGCCTTGAGCAAAAAAAGAGCTCAAGGACAGCATCCAGGCCCTAAGTTCAAGCCTCATGACCATAAATAAATAAATAAATAAATAAATGTTATTTTCTATAACAATATTCAATATTTTTTGTAAGATAAAGATTGGGAAGATATCCGAAAGATGCCAGAATACCCTACACTTCAGAAGGACTTTAGGAGAACAACGTAAGTTTTTCCATATTGTCTTAGTCCGTGTGTACTGAAATTTTAAAATAAGTTTTAGATTGGGTAACTTATAAACAACAGAAATTTATTTTCTTACAGTTCTGGAGGCTGGAAAGTCCAAGATTAAGGTGCTAACTAGCAGGTTCAGTGTCTGCTTCCGAGATGGTGCCTTGTTGCTGGGTCCTCATGTTGTCAAGGAAAAAAAGGGGTGAACTCATTGTGAAGCTTCTATTGTAAGACATTAATGTCATTTATGAGAACCCTCCATGACCTAATCACCTTCATTTTCATTCTGGTACATTGGGGATTAGGTTTCAACATGAATTTTGTGAGGAACACATATATTCAAGCCATAGCTTATTAGTTATAGGTATATAGTAATGTTCAAGGGAAAAATATTACCCTTTAAAATTGTATGTAAAAAATTGAAATTTAGAGTTTAGTGTATTAATTATGTCTATGATTTAAAGAATACATTGCAGATAATGTATCTACCCAATTTAGGCTATAGTATTTTAAAACTTTAAAGAATTTCAGCATCAGTAGTCAGTTTAAATGTCTATTTCCTTCTAACATGAATGGTTTTATCTTTATCTGAATAATAATTGATGAAATGGAAATGGTGGTGTAGGAAACCATGAGAGATGGTGGGAAGAAAAACCTGTGGCGCAGGGTCTCACTAAAACAAGACCTTGTCAAAGGAAGAGAGGAGAGAAAGGAAAGTGAAGAGAGGGGAAAAGGAGAGGGAGAAGAGAGGAAATGGAGAAGGGAGCGGAGAAAAAGAGGAGAAAAGGAGTGGAGACAAGTATGAATAGAAATGAGAGAGAGCAAAGGCAATTGTATGAAAGGACTTTGTTATTGACCCACACCTATAGGAAACATTCTCTTAGGGAAACTTACCTGAAAAATTTCAGGACGGTATCACAGGAACAAAAGTGGACATTATAAAGAGAAGTCGATGGCATTAATCATTTCCAGATGTGTTTGCACAGTCCTTGGTAGGGTCCTTTGCCTCGTTCCCTTAAGATAGCATTGATAACCATGCTTCTGGACTGGGCTCTCTGCTTACTCTAGACATTTTTCCCAGGTAAACTTTAGTTTCAGTGGCCACAATTTATCAGCAGTTAAGATGATAACTCCTAATTTATACAGCTTTAAGTATATCATATGAAATATTTGGGATTAGAAGTGTTTTTAGATTGGGAATTTTTTTCAGGCATCTGGATTTTGTTTTTTGTATTAGGGATGTACAACTTGTATATCCTACTCAAATCTCTTTTCTAGTTTTAGAACCTGTCTAACAAATTGCCTTATGGAACACTAACTTGAATATTCTATAAGTACTTTAAATATTTAAAATAGAATTCAGCATCTGTCTTCTTCAACCACTCCATGCTATATTTCCTATCCTAGGAAATGGCTTCATGATTCACATAATTATTTAAGCCAAAGATCTGGGAATTACCCCTTATCTGTCATTCTTTCCTCCTCTCCTCTCTCCTCTCCTCTCCTCTCTCCTCGCCTTGCCTCTCCTCTCCTCTCCTCTCCTCTCCTCTCCTCTCCTC